AAGAACTAGTTGGTGGTTCTGATTTTGCCTGACCAACATCTTTATCTTGAAATCATAGAATCATAGAATCATAGAATACTTAAGATTGGAAGGGACCTCTAGAGGTCATCTACTATGACTTTCAATTTTCCTTGCTTTCCATGTACATGTGATACAGTATCCTCTTCACCCATTTTCAAATGATGTATCAGCAGCCTGTACAGAAGCTTTTGAAATCCCAGGCTTCACTTTTTCAGAAAACAAAAATGGATAAAGTTTCTCCTTGAGTTGGTTTTGGTACTTCCTTTATCATTGTTAACAGATTTGAAAGACTTCACTGAAAATAATTTCAGAATATTTTACTTTGTCCAGGGAAAGAATATTATGAAGAGTGAAGTCTTATTAAGAAAAAGAAATTCATTTTATAAGTACAAGATATCGCAACAGTGATAAAATAATAATAATTTAAAAGATATTGCCCAAACTTAGAGACATGAAATTAAAAGTGTAGTTAGTTCAGTAGAAAGTAGCCAAGATGAAGGCCCTGGAAAGAAAGAAAAAGTTACAAAGAACCATGTGACAGACTAATAGAAGGGAAAATAAGTCCTAAAGCTACTGAAGAGATTTTGTCTCACTGCTCAAAACAGCAATATAGAGGTTAAAAATTCAGTAACAACGCACTTTAACCTAATACATAACAAAAATAACAAAATGCAAAATCAGGAAATTGAAGGATGAGCAAAGAGCAGTGCCAAGCACTAAGCTTTCCTTAGTCACCTTCACCCCAGACAAAATTAGCAGGAACTTCCCTTTTTTTTTCATTTTGCTCTCCTCAGGAGCTCAAGAGAGGGCACCAGAGCTCTCTCTTGCAGAACCCTGCTCTTACCACATGCCGAAAGAAACTATTACACATTTATGATCATCTTGGTATTACTGTTTCATTTTTGTCAGCTTCACTTAGTTCAGAGGATGGAAAATTTTCTTCTGCATGCAGCAGTGATAGAGAGAGCTTGGAGAAAACAAACAAACAAAAAACAAAACAAAACAAAAAAAACCCAGAACAGTTAAACCTAAACTACCCTTTTAAAATATGAGCATCTCTCCTTGGAATTTCCATTTTATTTTCATTCACTTATTCTACTCTTTCTCTGTCTTTCCCAAGCTCTGCTCACAGGTTTGCCAGTAGATTTGTGCAATTTCGCTCTATGCTGGGAGAACCCACCGCACTTCTATTTTTCTAAATCTTTATTTTCTCGAGCAGTAGAAAGCTCGTGCGAGACCTCAGTGGTGAGAGCAGAGCCTTATTAAATTTGAGTATCCAGAAGTGAGCTGCAGCTCAGGAGCGCCGATCTGAGCTGCTGGGGAGGAATAGAGAGAACAGCTGTGAACTGCCCAGTCCCCAGGTTTGTTTTTTTCGGGAGGGAGGAGGGTATTATTTTGGAAAAACAGAGAGACAGGTAGGGTAAAACAAACCTCAGCCGGCAGAGGAGGAGGAAAAAACAGAACAAACAAACAAACAAACCAAAATACTTGTCACCACTGAAAAAAAAAAAAAAACCAAAAAACCCAACCCAGAAAGCAGCACGCGAGCATTTTTCTCTTTTTATCTAGATGTAGGAGAACAGCTGGTTCCAGCATTTTTTTTTTCCAGGCAGCAGTTCTCTTTCCAAAATGGAAGAGAGAATTAATCATCTTCTTTCTGTGGACATATGTGTGCTTGTGGGCTTTTCCCCCCACCATTGCTCCTAATCCCTCAAATCACTTGCAAGATAGCACTTAGGCAAGTTGCCAGCATTCCTGGCGTGTGGCTGTGGCCTCACAGACCACAGTTCTCCAGGCTTGTGGAGAGGACATCTGCAAACGAAGTGGGTGGTGGTGGTGGAGATCAGGGTTTCCAGGGGAATTTAGCACCGTTCCCACACCCAGTCTGGCTTCAGAGCTGTGCACTTGCAGCAATCTGTAGTTCTTCACCAAGAGGAGAAGCCCCAGGACTTGATTTACTTCTGGTTAACATGAGGTTAGGACACCTGTGGTCAAAGCACTACCAAAATTGGGGTCTTACTGATCCTGCACTACAACCACCCTGAACTGGTCAGGGACCTCTTCCAAATTCTCAGAAATTTACCCTCAGTGGATAGCAAGCCAGGGTTCAAACCTCTGCTCTGAGCTGAAATCTTGAATTAATTGCTCTATCAACCTTCCTGAACATCTTTGGTTCCTCACAGCTGTCACCAGAAGGCACCCTTGGCACTACTGCAGCTTTACCACTAGTGTGAACTCGATGCCGCCTCACATCTCTCACATTCAGGTAGGAAAACTGGGGACAGGGCTGGCAGTCTGTTCCTTTTACAGGTTTAGCTCTAGATTTGTTTGCTATGAAAATCACCGCAAAGTGTTCATAGTCGTGCCCAGTCCAGTCTGCCCATGAAGCTGCTTTCATCTCTGCTGAAAACCATTCCTTCAGTGTTTCTTTCTGCATTCATATTTATTGAAAAAAAAAAGATGCATCTTTGTCTCTGATTTCTCCTCTATTTATTGCCTAGCTCAGGACTTGGACTATATAACGGGAAAGCAAACTGACTTTTTGTCTTTGTGGGATGTGTTCTTCAGGATGGGCATGGAAAGCCAACCTTTCTTCATGTGTATCTTGAGACACTTTTTGAAGGTCTCCCACACTAAGTTTCCTGGTGCAGAAACTTACCTACCTTCCCAGGCATGCGGCGGATCAAGTAATAATCTTTCTGCTAGCACTGCAATATATTTTGAAAGCTCACTGCAGAGTTTAAATTTATTTATTTATATTTATTTTGGGCACTCCTTACCATATTGGATATGTCCTTAATTTTGCTGCTTTCTATGTATTCCCATGCACATCTCTGAATACAGTCATTTGTCCTCCCATTTTTCTTTTTCTTTTTTTTTCTGAGCTGTCCTTCACCAGTGCTTTTTATTTGTTCCAGCTATCTCTCCTCAGCAATCGTTCCAACTTTCTCTAACTTGCCTCTTTCTATTTCTCTCATCCACACTAGACTTCCTTGTTCCCTCATAGTATGAGAACACATGCAGGTTTTTTAACATAGCAGGAGTTATTTCCTAAATTCTATTAATGCACCACCTTTTTTCTTGTCATTGACTGGTGCCTTGTTACCTGCTCTGAAAAATGCAGAGCTTAAGCAGAGCTTAAGGGTGCAGCCTGTCTGGGTTCAATCTGCATCAGTCAAGACAACAGCCGTTCAGCTACTTCTAGGCTGTGTGTGAAAACTTGGGCCTTTTTTGAACTAATGGTGTTTGTGAAAAGGAAGAACATATATCTTGAATATTCTGTTCATGGCATGAAGCAAGTCTAAATAAACTGCACAAAAGCACTGTAACTTTTCATGTCCCATCATCTTACAGAAGAAGAAGAAAAAAAATGTTTATAACTGCTAATCTGGTACACTATGAAAACCGCTGCTGCCTGCTAGTGGAAATTTCTATGCTCCTGCATTTAAATTCATATTTCAAACATTGCAGAACTGATTTGGTTGCATTAAGTTGCATTTTAGGTTGTTAGCCTGCAGTTTAAGTTCTGCTTTATTCTTTTATTTTTCCTGTCCCCTTCCCCTCAACCCCCAGCCTGCCCATGGCTGTCTAGTATCTTCCACAAATACTTGATGCACATCAAATACCATGGGTGCTAGTGTTGGAATTACTTTGAGGTGTTTTCCCCCTTCTTCTCCACCACTTCCCCCTTAATGTTACACACCCTTTTCATCTTCTGAAACGTGACTATCAAATGACGATATTCAGGTTTATTTTGTGATAGGGCAGAAGTCCAGGCCTGGCTGCTTTTGCAACTTAATTAAAAAGGTGAGCATCTAATTTTGTGTGTCTGCTAGGAGTGCAAATCTGCAAGTGATATTAGGTCCCCCCTGCTGTGGCCTATGTGGTACTGTAGGACCAGGAGCATCTTCCCCCACAGCCAAGTACCACAAGTGCTTGAGAAGGTTCTTCTGTGAAAGCAGCAGTGATGGCAGCTTTAATGTTGTCTGCATCGCTTTCCTATACAGATTGGAGTGATGGGTTGCAAGCCGTAGAAATATTTATTTCCAAATCCTGCTTGAGGCTTTTTTCTTTCTTTTTCCTTTTTTAAAGACCCACGGTATGTTATAGATAACACCGCAAACACTTAATCTGGTTGTCATTTTGAGGAAGGGACACCTTGACTATGCATTTTTTACAGCTCTAGTGCTGTCCCGGTTCTATGAGGACATGTCAAACTGCTGTTTTTTGACAAGGTGAGTTCCCAGCAATGAATCTGTGTCTTAAAATCCCCGAGAGACTTCTTTCTTCTCTCTCTCTCAAAAAAATAAAAAATAAAATAAAAAAAGAACTTTTGCAGAGGAAACAGTATTTAGTGTATGTTTTCTATAGAAAAGCTATAGGAAAGGCTAATGAATTGCAAATTCAGTGATTCCGAATTCTGATGTTTAGACCTCCAAACTTTTCTCGCCCTTGCACCATTGCACAGCCACCGAAAACAGCATTTTGGGACAGCAGTGCAGGAAAACACCTGGTTTGGGGCAGCTCGTCCAGCTGTGCTCCCCGGAGGAGACGCTGTCACGGGGGAGGACAGACGCAGTCGCGGGGCCACAAGGCGACCGCGGCGTTGGCTGCGGTGCCTGGGACAAGTGTCGCGCGGCCACTGGGTGCTCCTGGGGGTGATTAAAGAGGCGGCTGCTGCTCGCTCGGCCGCCCTCTCCCCGCCGCAGGAGCAGGGTCCTTTCCCCACCTCCCGGCTGGAGGAGACGAGGGCGAGAGCAGCGCGGCCCGGGTGACGGCAGAGCCGCAGCAGCCTCGTCGCTGCGGCGCGAGGGCTCAGAGCCGTCACCGCGCGGGGTTGCGGCACAAACTGCTCACGGGTCCTGCGAGGCTGGGGAGAGGAGAGGATTTACCACCGGCGTGACGGTGTTTGCGGCGCGCCGTCACGTTGCCTTGCTTCTCCCCGGGCAGCTGCGTTCAGAGCTTCGTGTGGGAATCTTTCTATTGAAGAGACAGAGAAAAGGATCCTTAATCTGATTCTCTTTGGATCCTTCTGTTTTTATGGTAAGTACTGGCATGTATCGGCTGAGCAGAGCTTCATTGCTGCAGTGCTCTCCCCTCCTTCCCACGTTCCCTGTTTTTCTCCCCTTCTATTCTCAGTTAAGCCTAGTGACCTTCCCTCAATATCCAACAGGAAATGTCATTTTCCTCTGCTTCGTGTCGGACGTCAGCTAACTAAAATACAAGTTTTGCTTTGCCCCCCTCCAACCCCACGCTCCGAAGCAGCAGATGCAGCCAGGAAACTGCCTCTTTGTCCTTGAGAGCCGGGATGCTCGGACAGCGCTCGCGATCGCGCGCGGCAGCGCGACGCGGGGCCGCCGGCCACGCAGCGGTGCTGGTTTGGGTAGAGGTGACTCCTCAGCTCCGCGCCGCTGTGCGGAAGGGCACGCCGGCCTCCGAGACAACTCCGAGTCCCCCCACGGAGCTCGGTGTGGGGCACTCGTGTGGCGCGTGCCCCTCTGGTGACACTGGCGTAGGGAGGAAGGGCTTGTGCAGTGTTTGCAGTGCAAGCCAGGGGTCTGCACCTTTGGCATCTTAACATCTTACATGGCTGGGGGGAGAAGTTAAGGAAGAGGTACCTGGGAGCTCCAATCCCTTTCTGGTCTACACAGTTGCAAATTCCTTGCCTTTTAAGTGCTTTCACAACTCCGCAGCAGAAAGGAGATGCCTTGAAGTTAAATGCTTGAAAAAAAATCTGTGCTTGCTTCCTCTATGCTTTAAGCTGTTTTAACTAGTATGATTTGGTTAAATAAGGAAGATCATTACTTAGTTCATAACAGACTGCATCCTATGGGCATGCTTTTGCTTTTCTCCTGTTGGTAGCATAAGATTTAAAGTAAATGCAAACATATGCCTACAGAAAAGCATATATGCACATTAGGTATGAGGGAGCTGTAGTGCAAAAACATTTATTTTCACTAAAATGTTTCATTTGGCGAATCCATTATGTGGATTCACTATGCATAGCCATTGCATACTGCAGGAATAGTAAAGACTTTGCCAAATCTTCAGAGCTCCACTGACCGCACAGATATAATGCTGTGGCTCAAACTCATCATAGGCAGATCTGCCCTCAAGGCGGAGGTGAGCAGATGTGTCCTGGCACCTCTGTCTTACCAAGGCAAGATGAGAATAAAGCTCTGGTTCCGTCTCTGATTTACTTTTCTAGGGTTTAAGCAAGTGATATTCTAACGTCTGGAAATTGTTTCCATTGCTCAATGTATCTTACATCATGACTAAATAAAATCACTTTGCTGGCCAACCCAGCCTGTAATTTAGGGGTGCGCTTCATGCAAGCCATAGAGTTCAACAGCTTCAGCATTTGGGGCCCTTCTCCTCTCTATCAAACAGGTAAAAACTTTCAAATCCTGCAGTTGCCTAAAATGCCTCATTCCCTTGCAGCACCTGGCTGTAGCGCCCTGCTGTAGCGATGACGTTTGCGCTGAGGGGGGAGCCCAGGACTTGCCCAGTGCTGCATGCACGAGGTGCTGGGGGCACTCGGGCTGTAGGTCAGACCACAGCCCGGGGCTCGGTGCTGCAGCGAGCTCCCTGGTGCATCCAACTTGCTGCAAACCTGCCTCTGCTCTTGGCACTAGCGCAGCGCAATGAGTGGTTAAAAATATTTATTACCGGAGCAGTCTGCCCCTCTGCTTGCTTTGAGGCTGCACAGGGCCTGCGCATTACTTTAAATTTTCTCGGTAAAGACGGCTGAGATCTCTTTCTCCCTGCTTCAGGAGTTGCTGCCACAAATACAGCAGCAAAGAAACTTTTTTGTTGTGCAAGGAAACCAGCAGGGGTCTTGTTACCACATGTGCAGAAATTGTCCAAGGTGCCTGCGCCTTGTGACGCTGCTTTCTGGGAGAGCGGTTTTGGGTTTCTGCTGATTAACCGTGGCGCAGAACGGCGCGGAACGGCGTGGATCTGCTCGCAGGGCTGCTCAGTCACACGCAGGATTGCCTTAAAAATGAGAATTTGCAAAGGACTTGCACAACTAAAGTGATTCTGAAGATCACGGTTAAATATGGAACAGCGTATTAATTTTTAAAATGATGAGGATTACATAAATAAGGCTTTTCAGGGCCTCAAAACAAGCTACCTTACCTAGCCTTTGATCAAAAGGATCTCTTTTCCCTCACAGAAGTGACTCGTGTCTAAGAAGTGCTATCTTGTTAAAGTTATCTTTTAATCCAAGTGCATAATCATGCCTGTCATGCACCTTAGACCCTAAAGTGCATAATACTGTAAATACTGTGTGTTTTCTAACTAGTCTTGAGGAAAAAGGAAAGGAGGGAAAACAAAACAAAACCTGAAATGAACCTGAAGTGTTTTTCTGCAGTTTAATAGATGCAAGCTTGCAAGGGGATGTTTGGATTTGGAAACTGCTACCTATGTGCTACAACTGAGAAAACTGTACACGTAAAATCTGTGTCAGCACATGCAGTTGCAGACCCAGGGCCCAAACCATGAAGATATCATCTCTCATAAAGGCCTTAAGAGGAAGATGGAGGAGTGCAATGCTCCAAGCAATAGGAAATCCAAGCAGGGGGCACGTTTGTCGGTGTGCAGCAATGCTGTGGGTGCCCTGGGAGGGGGATGCACCCAAGGACATCCCCTGCCTCCGCAGCATGGTGTCATGTTAATTCTTTTGCAGGGTGCCTGAAGACTGCATAGAAAACAACTGCAGGGAGGGGAGGAAAAAAAAAAAAAAAAAAAAAAAAAAAAAACCACCCCCGTTCCCTGGCAGG